CCTCTTTCTAGCCCCCAGCGAGGCTTGGGCTCCGGCCCAGGGACACCACGTGGGGGCTCCCGGCGTGGCAGCGTTCCCGGAACCAGCCCCCAAAGACTGCTCCCCGCAAGGGGCCCTAGCCCGCTCCCTAAATGGCCTGAGCGGCACTCCCGGCCTGGCTTCTCCCCAAAACCTATGTGGAGGGGCCTCAGGCATCCTCTGCAGATTGCAGACAGCCTGTCGCCAGACCCCAAGCCCCGAGACTGCCTCGGCTGGAGCTCCCAGTTGCCTGGTTTCCTTCTTACTCACCCATCGCGGCTCCGCTCGCTCCTACTTGGCGGCGGCAGCGGCGGCGGCTTCGGCGGCAGCTCCAGCAGACAATATGGCGGACCCGCCGGACGGAAGCCCCAAACGGACAAACAACCTAACAGTCAAACCCAGGAAGAAATGCGCTCTCAGCCCCACAGGGTCGCTGACACACAAGAGCGCATTTAAAGAGACTGCAGCCACTAAAGGCGGGGAATAGGGCTGGACTATGGAAAGGGTGGGTGGAGAGAGATTGATATCAAAGCCAATCATAGACCCTGCAACTGGATATGAATAGAGGCTCGCTTGAAGAGGCGAAATGACTGTGCTCAGGGATATAGAGAGAAGAAAATAAAGAAGACAAGAGTAACCAGGATTGCCGAAGCCGGTTTAGCTCAGTGGATAGAGCGTCGGCCTGCGGACTGAAGGGTCCCAGGTTCGATTCCGGTCCAGGGCATGTACCTGGGTTGCGGGCACATCCCCAGTGGGAGATGTGCAGGAGGCAGCTGTTCGATGTTTCTCTCTCATCGATGTTTCTAACTCTCTATCACTTTCCCTTCCTCTCTGTAAAAAATCAATAAAATATATATATAAAAAAGAGTAACCAGGATTACAATCTTATGGGGAGTTAAAATTAGACAAATGAGACCAGTGCAGTGCTTTATAGTTGGCAGAGCTACTGTATTTCATTTATTTTCGCAGCAAGCTCTCTGAGGGCAGAGGTCGGTTCTGTATTTTTTCATCACTATTTCCCAACACCCAGGACAGTATCTGGCACATGGTATGTGCTCCATACATAACTGTTGAGTAAATAAACAAACTAACAGGTCTGTGACTCACACGAAGCATGGAAAGTGATTTCCCTTTCTAGAGATTAGGAAATAGGAGCCTTGAGTGTTTTCATGCCTTTTGAATCATGAAATTTTATGGCTGGTACAGATTAGGCCTCTCTTTTTGCATGACAGGCCCGCCCTGTTCCTCACCTCAACACACAGGAAAGCAAGCTATGACTTCAAGTCACTGGTCCCAAGGGGAAGCTGCCTTTGGAAGCAGGATGAGGGATCTGGGCTTCTAGGTCCTGACACAACAAATTGCCAGCTCTACTTGTGTGCTCGGTAGTTAAGGGAAACAACTCAAGAAGCTAACTTTAAAACTCAGAGTCAGGAAAGGGAGTACTATCTTTCTCTTTCTACTGCCACTGCTCAAGGTCGGACCTCTTCAGTACCTTCTGCTCTATTTTGCCTGCCTCCTCACTGGTTCCCTGGCCCCAGGTTTTCCCACTCGCACCTATCATCTCCTTTATTATTTTTTATTTTTTTAAAATATATTTTATTGATTTTTTACAGAGAGGAAGGGAGAGAGATAGAGAATTAGAAACATCGATGAGAGAGAAACATCGATCAGCTGCCTCCTGCGCATCTCCCGCCGGAGATGTGCGCGCAACCCAGGTACATGCCCTGGACCGGAATCGAACCTGGGACCCTTCAGTTCACAGGCTGATGCTCTATCCACCCAGCCAAACTTGCTAGGGTCTATCATCTCCTTTAAAGCAGATACCTTGTCCTAGCTGGTCTGGCTCAGTGGATCGAGCTGTGGACTGAAGAGTCCCAGGTTCGATTCCAGACAAGGGCATGTGGGAGGCACCTTCCATTCTCTGGGGGACGGTGGGGGGGATCAATAGAAAAATATCCTTGGGTGAGGTTTAACAATAACAAAAAAGCAGCTACCTTGTCATGTCATACCTCTGCTTAACTACTGCATAACTTCCTACTGTCCCTCCTTAGGTAATGCCCCCAAATTTCAATCTGACACACAGGCTGAGAATCAAACTAGCAAATTTTGGGTGCACTGGGTGACACCCAACCAAGCCACACCAACCAGGGCAGCTATTTCTTGTTTGGGAAGCTCTTTGTCTGTGCTTCAATTCTAAATGATAGCTTTGAAAGGTAGAGTAATCTTAGTTGTAGGTCCTTGCTTGTCATCACTTTGAATATTTCTTGCCTATCCCGTCTGGCCTGCAGTTTCTTTTTTTAAAAATATATTTTATTGATTTTTTTACAGAGAGAAAAGGAGAGGGATAGAGAGCTAGAAACATCGATGAGAGAGAAACATCGATCAGCTGCCTCCTGCACACCCAGTGCTGGGGATGTGCCCGCAACCCAGGTACATGCCCTTGACCGGAATCGAACCTGGGACCTTTCAGTCCGCAGGCCGACGCTCTATCCACTGAGCCAAACCGGTTTCGTCTGCAGTTTCTTTTGAGAAATGAGCTGACAGTCTTATAAGAGCTCCCTTAAAGGTAATTAACTGCTTTTCTCTTGCTGCTTTTAAGATTCTGTCTTTAACATTTTGCATTTTAATTATGATGTATCTTAGTGTGGGCCGCACTGGGTTCATCTTGTTTGGGACTCTGATCATCTTGTTTAGGGAAGTTTTCTGTTATTATTTTTTCTTTTCTTTTTTAACCCTTTCCCGAAGATATTTTTCCATTGATTTTTAGAGAGAGTGGAAGAGAGAGAGAAAGAGAGGGAAATATCCATGTGAGAGAAACACATCGATTGGTTGCCTCCTGCACATGCCCCAACTGGGGCCTAACCGGGGAGGAGCCTGCAACCGAAGGAGTGTCCTTGACCCTTGACTGGAATCAAACCTGGGCCCCTTCAGTTCACAGGCCGACACGCTATCCACTGGGCTAAACCAGCTAAGGCTGTTATTATTTTTTCAAATAGGTTTTCAATTTCTTGCTCTCTCCCTTCTTCCTGCACCCCTATGATGGGAAAGTTGGTATGCTTGAAGTTGTCCCAGAGGCTCCTTATACTATCCTCATTTTTTTGGATTCCTTTTTCTTCTTTTCTGAATGGGTGTTTTTTATTTCCTTACATTCCAAGTCAATGATTTGCTTCTTGGCTTCATGGACTCAATTGTTGATTCTCTGTAAATTATTATTTATTTCATTAGTGTATCCTTCATTTCTGACTGTTTCTTTTTTTTAATATTTTTATTTTTATTGATTTCAGAGAGGGAGAGGGAGAGAGATAGAAACATCAATAATGAGAATCATTGATCAGCTGCCTCCTGCATGCCCCCTACTGAGGATCGAGCCCACAACCCAGGCATATGCCCTTGACTGGAGCCCTTCAGTCTGCAGGCCTACGCTCTATCCACTGAGCCAAACCAGCTAGAGCTCTTACGAGCTCTGTTTCTTTAAAAAAACAAAAAACTTTTTATTGATTTTAGAGAAAGAGGAAGGGAGAAACATCTATGTGAGAGAGACATGGACCGGCCATCTCCTGCATGCCCCACACTGGGGATCGAACCCACAGCCAGGGTACATGCCCTGACCAGGATCGAACCGTGACCTCCTGGTTCATAGGTCAATGCTCAACCACTGACCCATGGTGGCCGGGCCAGGGCTGTTTCTTTTTTATGCTGTTGAGGTTCTCATTAAGTTCCTTGAGCATCCTTATAACCAGTGTTTTGAACTCTGCATCTGGTCCATTGCTTGTCTCCGTTTTGTTTGGTTCTTTTTCTGGAGTTTTGTTCTGTTCTTTCATTTGGGATGATGTGTTTGTCTCCTCATTTTGGCAGCCTCTGTGTTTGTTTCTATTAGGTAGAGCTGCTATGTCTCCCAGGCTTGGTAGATAGCCTATTGTAGTAGATGTCCTGTAGGATCCAATGGCCCAGCCTCCCTGACCACCCAAGCTGGGCTCTCTAGTTGCACCCCTCCCCACCCGTGGGCTATGTATACCCTCCTGTTTTAGTTGAATCTTGATTGCTGTTGGCACATCAATGGGAGGGACTTACCCCCAGGCCAATCCGCTGCAAAAACTGGCTACCACCACCAGCCTCTGTGAAGGATCAGGTGTGCAGGGGCCCGCCCCACCGAGCAGCACACACTTCAGCAGGGCTCTGCTGCCCCGACTCTGCCTCTTGAGTGTGTCACTGTGGTGGTGGTTGGGTGGTTTTTCAATTTGATCTGAAGCCGTTCACTGGGTGCAGTGGCTCTGAAGCCTCCTGGATGGTGCAGGCCTGCGCTTAGAACTCAGGCCAAGGCACCCCCCACAGGTGTTGAAGACGAATTCACATGCCCAAGGTCCGTCTGGAATCGGCTCTCACCCCTATAGTTGGGGTGGAGCTGGAACCCCAACCTGCTACAAGTTAGCTGTGGCTGTGCCCAAACTCCACAGGACAAAGTAGCCCAACAAACCCTGGAAACTGCAGGTGGCGCAGGACCCGGAGGAGGGCCGCGAGGCCTCAAATAAACTCTTATAAAAACTCTCAAGCCCTAGCTGGTTTGGCTCAGAGGATAGAGCATCAGCCTATGGACTGAAGGGTCCTGGGTTCAATTCTGTCAAGGCCACATGCCCAGGTTGCAGATTGGATCCCCAGTAGGGGGCATGCAGGAGGCAGCCAATCAGTGATTCTGTCATCATTGATGTTTCTCTCTCCCTCACCCTTCCTCTCTGAAATCAATAAAAATATATTTAAAAAACCTCCACAACTCTCGACCTTTACATAAATGAAATAAAGCAAATGCTATATAACTTAAAAAAAAATTCTCTACAGGTTTGAGCACTCTTATGTTGTATCTTCCTCCTCTTTGTAGCTGTCTCAGTGCCAAGCACAATGCCTGCATCAACAAAGGCACCAAAAACATTTGTAGCAGTGTCTCCCTGCCATATACCTCTGTGGACTCATCTGTTTATGCTGCGGCCAAAGGACTCGGGGAACACAGGCAGACTAGATGTGCAGCTATGACCGTCTCTCCTCCCAGCCCGTTATGCCCCATAGGAACCAGCAGCTTTGTTTCCACTCTAGCACTTGCCCTTGCTCACAAACTCTTTAGTCTAGAGCCATTGATCCTCCCTGATCCAGGCCCTCCATACCTTTCCAGCTCCAACCCACTCACGCCCCACTTTCCTTGTATTTCCTGCTCTAGGAACCACATCCTGCTTACCCTCCCCAAATACACCAGATGCTCCAAATCTCTGCTATTGCACATGCCCTTTTCTCTTGCCTTCTTGTCCACCTAGGAAGTAGCTGATGCAACTCAGGCTATTCACTCCTTCAAGAAGTCCAGAGAACATGACACGTTCTTCCCTCTGTGCTACTGTGTACCTTGGAACTGCTATAACCATCCCAGTGAAGTACGACTTGTTTCTGTGTCTTGGCATCCTAACTGTCTCCCACACCTGGCATAGAATAGGGTCACCATGACTGCATGCTGAATCAGGACCTCACATCCCGCTAGGGTAGTAGTGTCATATTTCGGAGGTTTTTTTTGGCCCAGCTCATCCTAGCTGTGTTACCTTGGGCAAGTCACTATAGCTCTGAGCTCACTCTTCATCTACAGACCAGAGTGACAGCACCCACCTCCTCAGGTTACCATAAAGGTTGGATGAAGACAAGGCCCGTCATACACATAAAGCAGCACCTGGTGCACAGTGAGCATTCAGCTAGCAGCAGTTTTCATTGTTACGGTGACCTCTCGTGCCTCGTCTCCCCTCCACTGGAGAAGGCAGAGCCCACAGGCCCCAGAAGACACACGTGGGGTTTCCTGGCCCAGAATCACACACCACTGCACTCTGCCTGACAGGCAAGAAGGGAAAGAAACTCAGGACACAAGCTTATTAGCAGTATAAAAATAGGACTTTTTTTCCTCATAATCATATCAATTATCAAAGAAAAAAACAGTATGTAACAAAAATACAAAGCTCTGGTGGATTTTTTTTGTCAGTTTTTGGGTTTTTTTCCCCACCCCCCCCTCCCCAACAGCCCCTTCCCAGGGATCCGCTGGCTGAAGCCTGGATGCGGTCCCTGGGTTGCCCTGGGCTCAGGAGAACCGGTGGTCCAGGTCCCTCTGGGGGTTGGCCGAGTATGAGTAGGCCTTGCCCAGTACCAGGCGGTCCCGCAGCAGCTTGAAGAAGGCGTAGTAGTTGCTGAAGAGGATGAGCGCCAGTGAGATGGTCTGGTGCCACTTCTCAGACGACATTAAGGAGTACAACTGGTAGACGATGACGGCACCCTCCAGCAGCAGGAGGATGTTGAGGATCCGCAGAGGTTTGCTGAAAAAGAACTGCCCAGGAAAGAGCAGGATGGACTGGAATGTACTCTCCGGAAACCTGCCTCTTGGGGGGCTGGGAAGGAAAACTTCAGAGGGTGGGGCACTGACTTTGCTGCCTCTCTGCCTTTGCTTGTGGTGTTCCTTCTGTCAAGGCTACTGCTCCCCACATAATATTGTTTAAGATCCTTTTCAACTTGTACTTCCTCCAGGAAGCTTTTCTTGAGAAGTCTTGCTTGCTCTCTCAAACTTTTCTGGTCTAAAATCAGACCAGATTTTATATGTGATCTTCCTGGGTACTGTAAGACCTAAACCAATTAGAATCTTATGATATATTAGAGGCCCAGTGCACGAATTCGTGCTCCAGTGGGGTCCCTCGGCCTGGACTGCGGGATGGGGATGAAACCGGCTCTCTGACATCCCCCAATAGAGCCCCGGATTGCAAGAGGGTGCAGGCCAGGCCGAAGGACCCCACTGGTGCACGCTCGGGTCCAGGGAGGGATGTGGGAGGTTGGCCAGCCAGCGAGGGACTGTGGGAGAGCTTCAAGGCGTGTCCAGCCTGTCTTGCTCAGTCCCAATCAGCTGGAACCCAGCAGCAAGTCAACCTACCAGTTGGAATGTCTGCCCCCTGGTGGTCAGTGCACCTCATAGCAACTGATCAATCGGTTGACTATCTGCTCCCTGGTGGTCAGTGCATGTCATAGCACGTGGTTGAGTGGCCTTACCATATCCTTAGCATATTACACTTTGGTTGGTTGAATGGCCGACCAGACGACTGGATACTTAGCATATTAGGCTTTTATTATATAGGCGGAGTTACAGACTCTACAGCCTGAGTCACCAATTACTTAATGTATAGCACTTGCCAGCTAGGCCAGAAGCTTCCAGGGGACCTGCATGTGGTAGAGTAGCCTACCACTGCTGGACTCCAGATTTCATTTATATGAAGTTGCAGAACAGAAAACTAACCTGTGGTGAAAGAAAGTGAAAAGATAGTTGGGTGGTCACTGGGAAGGATCATGAGGACATTTTCTGAGGGGCTGGAAATGTTCCGTAGCTTGATGGAGGCTAGATTACACGGTGTACATGCCTTTATCACTCTTACTTGGTGTTTACCAGGCAAGGTAGAGTGTAGCAAAAAATTTCTGATCAATTCAAAAGAGTGGCCAATGTCTAGGGATCCAGATTCTGCAAGAGGCAAGGTACCTAAACCTCAAGAGCTGCTTACAGGATAGAAGTGGTAGGAAATGGGAGTCCAAGAGACCAGCATGCCAGGTTCAGCTCTGCAGCTGAGAGGCTTCTGGAACCTCGGGCAAGTCCCTTCCCTGTCTGGGCCTTAGATTTCTCTACAGTGAAACGAAGAGATTACCCAGATCTATGATTTCTCAGACTGTGTTCCTTGGAGCCCCAGGTTCCGAGGAGGTTATTTTAGGGACTATAGCAGCGGTGAGTGGGAGTGAACAGAGCAGAGCCATGAGGTCCTATACATTGGACTTTAGTCTATGACTGTATTGGACAAAGGATTTTGATAGCAAAAGAAATAAATAAAATGCAGACCACTAGCCTAGATGATTTTGAGCAGCCCTTTTCCATAGGGTCATTACCTCCAGTTTTCAAATTTCCCAGGAAGGCACCCTTGAACAACTTAAACTCTCTAAGCTGATCTTAGTATCTAAAAACGGGGAGAGCCCTGGCATTTCTCCCATACACACCAAGTTCTGGTAAAGACTGATGGAAGAGTGCATGGGAAGTGCTTGCCTGGCACACAATAGGAATGATGATAGTTATTATTTTTATCACTAAGAACCTTTCCTTTTATTGTATCATCTTTCCCACCTCCACCCAGTATTTCAATGATCTGCTACCAGGCAAGATGCAGTTATGAAGTGGTTGACATGGCTGTCCTTGTTCTGCATGTGTACACTGTCTGCCTTTGGATGTGGGAAATACCTAAAAGTAACTCTCTTGTTATGATGTCACCTTCCTGCCCCTCTGGTCCCCCTGCCCTCTAGATCAGGCCCCAGCCCTCCTTCCCGGGGAGGCGACTCACGTGGAACCGGAAGTGGGAGACGTCAGAGGGGATGGCCACATTGTAGTGACCCACTGCTTTGTAGACGTTCTTGCTGTGCTTCACCAGCACGCCCTGTGGCCACATGCATTCTTCAGTCCACCTGGAGGCAGAGCCCAACAGTGCGCTTTATGCCCAGCTCACCCACAACAGGGGTGACCAGGAGACTGGGCATGAGGAGAAACCACCAGGGCTCTACTCTCATTTCTACGACTCAGCACAGTGACTTTCCCTTTCTGGGTGTCAGTTGTCTCCTCTGTAAAATGGGGTAAGATCCATGAGAAATTCACTATGCTGGCAGTCGCAAGGTCTAGGGCTGACGTTAACGCCTGAGGGAGTGTCAAAAAAATCTTTTTCCCTCTCTAGGTGAATCTTCTTCATCTGGTCTTACCTGTAGCCTCCAATTGGTCCATCACAAGTTGCCTAAGTGGTCTCTGTAAAATACCAAACTGAGCCCGACTGTTTTCTGCTCAAAACCCTCTGAAGGCTGTCCAGTGCTCTTGGGTCAAGTCCTCTGAGGCCCTGCGTGGCCTTCCATGACTGCCACCATGTAGCTCAGTTTCTAGTTCCTCCAGCATACCTTACTACGGCCTGTGGGCCACATGCAAATACAAATATTGTATTTGTTCCCGTTTTGTTTTTTTACTTCAAAATAAGATATGGGTAGTGTGCACAGGAATTTGTTCATAGTTTTTTTGTAAACTATAGTCCGGCCCTCCAACGGTCTGAGGGATAGTGAACTGGCCCCGTTTAAAAAGTTTGAGGAGCCCTGCCTTACTGCTTCATGTCTCTGTACAAGCTGCCCCCTCCAATTGGAATGCCCTTCCTGATGCCTTATCCTTCTGGCAAGCGCTTTGTCATCTTTTAAAAAAAATTGATCTCAGAGAGAAAAAGGGAGGGGGAGTGGGAGGGAGAGAGGAAGGGAAGGAGGGAGAGAGAAACATTGATTAGTTGCCTCCCACATGTGTCCCAACTGGGGATCGAGCCTGCAACCTGGGCATGTGCCCTGACCGGAATGACACCTGCCACCTTCTGGTGTATAGGACGGTGCGACAACCAACGGAACCACACCAGCCAAGGCTCTTTGTCATCTTAAAACCCAGACTCCTCCAGAAAGCTTTCCTCCAACTCCTCACAGAATTCAGCATCCTTTCACTCTCCCCCAAACCCCTACTACTGATCTACTTTCCCCAATGTTTTGCCACTTATTTATTTCTCTGTATGTCTCAAAGGTTGGGAGACCCTAAGGGAAGGGATGTTGTCCAATGCACCTCTGTCCTCGCAGCATACCACAAGGGCTGGCACAGAGGCCCCAGTGACCATGTGAACGAGGTGGTGGAACCAGTGTGCTTTCTTCCGACGTTCTGTGAGATCTCTCAGGAACTCCAAGGGTGCCGGGCCAGAGGACTGAGAACCACTGTCTGCAAGAAGCTCAATCTCATGCTCCTGCCTTGCTGATTCATTCATTTAAAGAAGTTATTGTGTGACATGTGATAACGCGAATGAATCTCACGGACAATATGCTGAATTAAAGAATCTGGACTCCAGATTTCATTTATATGAAGTTGCAGAACAGAAAACTAACCTGTGGTGAAAGAAAGTGAAAAGATAGTCGGGTGGTCACTGGGAAGGATCACAAGGACATTTTCTGAGGGGCCGGAAATGTTCCGTAGCTTGATGGAGGCTAGATTACACGGGTGTACATGCCTTTATCAAAACTCAAAAAACTATACCATTGGGGTGGAGCCCTGGCCGGTGTGACTCAGTTGGTTGGGCATCCCATGCCTGAAAGGCTGGCTGCTGGTTTGATTCCTAGTCAGAGCACTCGCCCAGGCTGGGGACTCAATCCCTGGTGGGAGGCATGCAGGAGGCAACCAATTGATGTTTTGCATTCACGTAGACCTTCCTTCCTTCCTCCCACCCTCCCTCCCTCCCTCCCTCCCTCTCGAAAAGTCAATTTTAAAAGTCTTAAAGATTTGTACATTTAATTGTATATAAGTTTTTCCTTAAAAAAAAAAAAAGAGGATAGCCCTGCTCAGAGGTTGAGCATTGACGTATGAACCAGGAGATCATGGATGGACTCCTGGTCAGGGCACATGCCAGGGTTGCAGGCTCGATCCCGAGGAGGGCGTGTGCAAAAGGCAGCCGATCGATGTTGGCACGGCTGTCCTTGTTCTGCATGTGTGCATTGTCTTCCTTTCGATGTGGGAAATACCTACAAATAGCTCTCTTGTGACAATATGCTGAATTAAAGAATCTGGACTCCAGATTTCATTTATATGAAGTTGCAGAACAGAAAACTAACCTGTGGTGAAAGAAAGTGAAAAGATAGTCGGGTGGTCACTGGGAAGGATCACAAGGACATTTTCTGAGGGGCCGGAAATGTTCCGTAGCTTGATGGAGGCTAGATTACACGGGTGTACATGCCTTTATCAAAACTCAAAAAACTATACATTTTAAGATTTATACTTTCAGCTCTGGCTGGTGTGGCTCAGTTGGTTGGGCATCATCCCATGCACTGAAAGGCTGGCTGCTGGTTTGATTCCTAGTCAGAGCACTCGCCCAGGCTGGGGACTCAATCCCTGGTGGGAGGCATGCAGGAGGCAACCAATTGATGTTTTGCATTCACGTAGACCTTCCTTCCTTCCTCCCTTACATCAAAGTTAAGGTCCCTCTGAGTGAAAAAGAATATTTCCAAAGTAAAGGAGGGAGCAGGCAAAAATAATAGTTTCTCATGACTTCCACTGAATTTTGAGCATATGCCAGAGTCAAAACAAACAGCTCAGAGGTTGAGCATTGACGTATGAACCAGGAGATCATGGATGGACTCCTGGTCAGGGCACATGCCAGGGTTGCAGGCTCGATCCCGAGGAGGGCGTGTGCAAAAGGCAGCCGATCGATGTTGGCACGGCTGTCCTTGTTCTGCATGTGTGCATTGTCTTCCTTTCGATGTGGGAAATACCTACAAATAGCTCTCTTGTTATTACATCACCTTCCTGCTTCTCTCATTGATGTTTCTATCTCTCTCTCCCTCTTCCTTCCTCTCTGAAAGCAATAAAAATATATTTTTTTAAAAAAAGACTGCCCAGCCAGCATGGCTCAGTGGTTGAACAACAACCTATGAACCAGGAGGTCACAGTTCGTTTCCGGTTAGGGCACAAGTCCGGGTTGCAGGCTGCGTCTCCAGTGTGGGACGTGCAGGAGGCAGCTAATTAATGATTCTCTCTCATCATTGATGTTTCTATCTCTCTCTCCCTCTTCCTTCTTCTCTCAAGTCAATAAAAATATGTTTAAATTAAAAAAAAAAAGGACTATACACAAAAAATTTACTGTGGACCTATTATAAGCCAGGTGCTAAACTAGGAATGAGGCGATGGCTGAGAGCTTGATAGGTAAGGACCCTGATCTCCAGGAGCTTTAGTCCTGGAATGACAGGCAAGTCACTAAGCAAACAGAGCAGAAAGTGCTAGGTGCAATGATCGTGGTATTATGGGATTGTAGGAGCATAGGGGAGCACTTGGATGGACAGGAAAGTGTTTCTGGAGGAATTCAAGTGCTAAAGAATGGAGAGGAATTAATCAGGAAAAGAAAGTCGGGAAGGATGTGGCAGGCAAAACATGCAGCATGTGCAAAAACCTCGATATAAAAATGCATACAGAGCTTAAGGATTCGAAGAGGTTTGGTCTGGCTAGAGCAGAACATGAGTTGGGGCATGGTAAGAGATAAGGTAGAAGAGGCTGGCAGGACCCAGCTCATCAGCTAGAAAGCCGTGTGAAAGATCCCGGATGTTATCTGCAGATCGCGGTGAGCTACGGACAGATTTAGCCTCATATTCTGCTATGTTCTATCTTTCTACTCCTCCCTCCCTTCAGAGCCCCCTTTTGGCCCATCTGGCAATGCCCATCCCCCTTCCTGGACCACCTGGGCAGAGGCTGGAAAGGCCCTGACTGGCACAGAGGCCCAACACCAGGAGGCTTGGGCTCTGTGGCCTCCCTTTGCACCTCTGCTTCTAGGTGGGCCTAGCGCTACAAACCTGTCCTAGTGGCCTCTTCCCTGCCAGGCCTTGTGCTTGGCCCGTGACTCAGATGTGATACAGAAGTGGCCTCCGCCTTGAGAAGCTTTCAGTCTATTGGGGCAATACAGGCAGGAAACCCCATATAACCTGGGTGAAATGCACTGTGGTGAAATGCTAGGCACCTGAAGAATGAGCCAGGCTGGGGAAAGACAGCCTAGCACCTCAGGGTTCCCAAGCAGGGTGACTTCTGCCTCTGTTCTGGGTGCAATAATATCCTGGAGCTGGGCCTCTGTCACACCACTCATCCTATTTACGTACACAGCTATCACCCCCACCAGACTGAACTCCTTAAGGATCTTGTTTCAGTAATTTCCTCCCTGTCCAAGATTCACCATCAGCACCAACACCATACCATATCTTGTTATCAGTTTGACGTCTCTAAGATACGCCTTGAAACTGGTCCCTCCACTACTCAAAATCCTTCATAGCTCTCCTTTGCCTATAGGTCAAAGCCAAGCTTCTTTGTCCAATATATTGCACCAAGCCTGGTATGGATGAGGTAGAAATAAATGTCTGCTGGAAGAGTAGGTGACCTCATGACTGAATGGATGAGTAAGCAGTTGATAGAGGGAGTGAAGCGAGGAATGAATGCATGAGCAAGTCAGTCAATGGGTGAATAAATAGTAGTCAGTGAATGAGAAAGTCCACGAGTCTATGAATTTACTGCCTGCCCCCTCCCATCTCTAGTACACTACAAGTTACCTAGGGACAGGGAATATGTCCGTCGCGGGCCCTGCCATACCCCATTCTGGCCACAAGGTCTAGCAAACAAGATATGCTCAATAACCTTTTGCTGACTGAATGAATGCGTTGATGAGCAAAGAGGTGAGTGACTCCAGACACTGACCAGGAGGGTTAGGGTTGGGCAAAGAAGGGTAGGGAACTCACGGGTGCTGCAGCACGTTGGAGCACAGCGCTGGGTCCACTTTCTGCCAGCAGCCAAGGTGGGCAGCGGCCTTGTGCAGTAGGTCGCAGTAGCTGGCAGGCAGCAGGTGCTGCATGAGGATCACTGAGGTGCTGATGGACACCAGGAGGAAGAGCTCGCAGGACCAGCGCTTGTCGTAGTAATGAGTGTTCTGGGGGCAGGAAGAGGTGGGAAAGGCCTGGGATGCCCGTAATGTCCTCACTCCTTCCCCCTTCCCTGATTCTATGTACCTTGAAGATCAAACCCGGAGAGAACTCAGGGTGATGTGAAACCAAGGATCTAACACCTAACAAAGAAGGCTTAATCATGGGCTTAGACCAGTGATGGCGAACCTTTTGAGCTCGGCGTGTCAGCATTTTGAAAAACCCTAACTTAACTCTGGTGCCGTGTCACATATAGAAATTTTTTGATATCTGCAACCATAGTAAAACCAAGACTTATACTTTTGATATTTATTTTATATATTTAAATGCCATTTAACAAAGAAAAATCAACCAAAAAAAATGAGTTCGTGTGTCTCCTCTGACACGTGTGTCATAGGTTCGCCATCCCTGGCTTAGACCCTGTGCCCACTGCTTAGTCTTTTACAAAGAAAAACTGCTCCCACTGCCCACCCCTCTAAGCCAGAACACTGGCTCCCAAGTTCAGGCACAGACTCTGGAGTCCAACTGACATGAGTTCAAATCTTGGCTCTGCTGCTTATTAACTGTGTGACCTTGGGCAAGTCATTTCACTGCTCTATGCTCCAGTTTCCTCATCTGCTAAATGAAGATAAGAGTAACCACCAACCACCTCTGAGAGGCATTTGGAGGACTGTAATACCCATGAAAACTCTATCACATTGTAGGTGCTCAACAAACTTTAAAACCTCGACCTCAAATTATTCAGTAGGGTCCATTCTTGGATACATGTTTCCAGCCTACAGTCGGCTGGGAAAATACTTTCCCAGAAGGCCACACAAGCTAGAGAGAGAGCACAGGCTTTTGCTGTCATTCCGATCTGGATGAATCCTGCTTTCCTATTTAACGGTAAAGCAGGACACTGTGACATGCCTGTACCAAAACAGCCAAATTAAAATACAAGTCACTGCTCTCTGTTATCAAGTATTATGAACAACAATGCATGTCCTCCTCACTGGCTGGGTGACCCTGTGCAGACCACTTCCTTTCAATGAGCCTTGTTCTTTCCGCTCTAAAAATAGAGGCAGCAGTCACTCTAGCCCTTGAGAGAACATACAGAATCTCATAAAAAAAAATAGTAGTTATTTATGCAAGCAGGTCTCCTGGGGGGCAGGCGGCAGGGCGAGGCCCTGGGCAGGCCCTTTGCCTGCCTGGGTTGAGCTACACACCTTCACGAACCAGACAGGCACGAAGGCCACGTAATAGGCGCTCAGCATGGAGCTGACCAGCACTTCCTTCATGCGCCAGTTGAAGTCCATCTTGAGGAACTCCACCTCGCTGCGGATGAGGCTGGGCGACAGGCAGCAGGCGTGGGTGGGCATGGAGTCTGGGCCGTACAGCTGCCGCGTGTGCTGCTTCCACGTCTCCCGCAGAGTCAGCAGGTAGTCCCGGCTCCGTGCCAGGCCGCTGACAGCCTCCCGGGGACCCATGGAAGCCATGTGGCTGAAGAGGTTTGTCTTGCGGATGTCACAGTTCAGCTGCAGGAACGGAATGTACATCCCAAACCTGCGGGGGAAGACAGTGGTGAGGGCAGGCCTGCCCGTGGGCCAGGATCCCAGCCCTCAGCCACTGGGGGACCTTCTTTCCTCCCTGGGCCTTAGCTCTCTTGGCTATTCTGAAGGGAGAATTCACTCGTCCTTCTAACCCTCCATCCTCCCATCCAATGATCAGTCGTTCAACACATGTATTAGCACTGAGTGTGTGCCGAGCATCAGGGATATAGCAGGAAGCAAGAGATGAGTCCCTGCCTTCACAGTCTATTGACAACTAACAGCATTCCTAACAGCCCACAGTAACTGGGCACCACCTATGCTCCAGACACTGCCTTAAGTCCTTTACGCGCATTCGCTTCTCTTTTCCTCCTAAGAACACTGTGCATTAGGTCCCGTTGTTTCGTGCCCTTTCAGATGAAGAAGCTGTGGCTCAGAGAGGTAACGTGGATTCCCCAAGGTTCACAATTAGCGAGGAAGTAACAGAGCTGGGATTTATCCCAGAATAGTCTGATACCAAAGATCAGGAGAGATACTCAAAAAATACCATGAGTAATTCATTTTAAATGTACATGGCACGGAGGTATACGTTGCTGAGTACATATGTTAGACAGCTCTTAGGGCAGCTCAGGAACAATATTTGTGTGTCTATTATGTGCCATGCACTGAAATGGGCCCTTGAAAAGTACAAATCTCTTCCCCTGAGCAGTGCTCTTAGGTTACGGCTGGAGCTAATGAGTCAAGGGGTGTTTTGAGTATCTGGCTCCTATCACTTGAGGAGAAAACTAGACGAACCCATAGCCAAGAAGGGTATATAGTTATAAAAAGTGGGTAAGTGCCCAGCACAGCACATGGAACATCACGTAGGTGCTTTTTACAAGCATTTCTTTTTTTAGCTTGGGCCCTCTCATTTTCCCCAGGTCCTCAGACCCAGACCCAGAAGGGTTCCTGGGCTGCCCCCAGAAGTCAGGGTCAATGAGAATGCTACATTTTCTTATCAACAGTAATTTCCTGTTTTCTGAGGTTCCAAGGGAAATGAGTGTCCTTGGGCAATGTGCTTCTTTGGGTTTTTGCTTTCTGTTTTATAAAATGGGGATGCTGCTCACTCGGTGTGACTCAGTGGGTACTGACCCATGAAACAGGAGGTCACGGTTCCATTACCAGTCAGGGCACATCCCTGGGTTTCAGGCTTGATCCCCAGTAGGGGCATGCAGGAGGCAGCTGATCAAAGAGTCTCATCATTTATGTTTCTCCCCCCCCCCCCCTTGAGATCAATAAATACTATGAGTATTTATTATATTTAAAAACTAGAGCCCAGTGCATGAATTTGTGCACGGGTGGGATCCTTAGGCATGGCCTGCAGGGATTGGGCCAAAACTGGCAGTCCAATGCTCCCTGCTGCTCCCACTCATCCCAGTCCCGCTGCATCTGCTGTGGGTTTGTGTCCAGTCAGTCCTAGCTGGGAAAAGCTCCACCACCACAGCTGCACTTGCCAGCTGTGAGCCTTTTATATCGTTTCTTCCTAGCGGAGCATCTGAAGAGGGGAAGTGGCCATGGTGCTCCACACTGACTTCCAGAAGGCTGGTGGTCCGTCAGAGCCTGGCCCATTCTCTGGATATTGGATCTGCAGGACTACTGAGGGAGGAAGTGGCTGCCACTGGGTTGGTAGGCTGCCCGGACCAGGTCCGTCAGCTGAGCAGCACTTCCGCTGTGGGAGCACACCTGCCCCCTGGTGGTCAGTGCACATCATAGCGACCGGTCATTCGGTCATTTAGGCATATATATATATATATATATATATGCAGATAAAATGAAGTGGGGATGCTACCATTCTTCCTGGGGTAAGGTTAAGTAAAACAACTGAGAGAATTGGTTGAGAAAATAAGCTCTGGGGTCCTAGGCCAGTTTTAAAATCCCAGCTCGGCCACTCACTGATGCTATTATTTAGGGCAAGTTACTTACTCTCTATGAGCCTCAGTATCCTTAACTTGCCTTAAGTTACATAGCTTATATTGGTTCCCTATGTTCAACCAGGCATTATGCTAGTGTTTTCATAAGTGCTCTCTTAATTTTTCCAACAACCCCCAGCATGGTGCCTGTCTCAGAAATATATCAATATAATTTTGTTAGAAAAAGAAATAGGCCAGTGACTCTATCAGACAGGAAAGAAGACTGAAATGGAATTCCCAAAACACTCTTCAGGATCCCTGTGGGAATAAGGGGGTGGGCACTTACATGAATATACAAGGGATTCTGAGTCAAACTTAAGGGCAAGTACTTAGAATCTCCCTGATTTTGCCTCTAAGAAGAACTACAGATCAACTAAATTACGTGGTAACAGCAAGTGACTGCTCTGACAGGTCACAAGTTAGAAGCAGCTTCACATGCAAGATGGCAGATTCCCTCCCATCCTTCCCACCTAAGACATGACAGTAGGAAGTAAATCCATATCAGCAAAACAAATGGGAGGAGTACACAAGTGATTCTGACAAATTTAGAAAGCGGACGGAAACATGTTGACAGATGAGGAAGGAAGCCATTGCCTAGAGCAGAATTGTCTAATAGGAATATGAGAGGCACACATGTTATTTAAATTTCTGTAGGGGGCAGGCTAGAAGAGGTCAATGGGCGCAAAAAGGGGACATCTATAATACTTTCAATAAAGATTAAAAATTTCTAATAGCCACATTAAAAAATAGATAAAATTAATTTTAATACTCTATTTTATTTAACTCAATATATGCAAAATATTACCATTGCAACATATAATCATTATTATGAATATGTTTTACTTACTTTCTTTTTTTGTACTAAATCTTCAGAATCCGGTGTATATTTTACACTTATAGCACATCTCAATTCAAATTAGCCTATTTCAAATGTTCAATAACAACAGGTGGCTAGAAACTACTAAACTGGACGACATAGGTCTAAGTCTAGGATATGCCATGAGAGGGCTGGACTGAGGGTAGGAGCTTCTCTGCCTAGAGTGATCCATGAAAGGCTCTGGCTTGATGTCACACATATGATCGAGGGCAGAAGTGAGAACCAGGGCTGAACAAATGGGATTTAACAAAGATCTGTATTTATGAATAAGAATCAGTCCTTTAATCTCTTAACATACCTCACACAATGCACCCTGAAGGATTTTTCTGTAAAGAAATTGAACAAAGTGTTTGAGAACTGAGGTCCCCATTCTAGGCATCCTAGAGTAACACCTACCCCACTTTTTCTGGCCAAAGGGGGCCACAGCCTGACAACAAGTACCTTACTCAATCATCCTAAAGCAAAGTTTGCCCTGCTCATGTACTCAGAACTTCCAGTCAAATCTCCTATTCTCATATACAATGGCAGAGGAAGAGAAAATGCACTCTAAGCTACCAGGCTCTTTGTTCTTAAACAGAAATAGACAACCAAAGAAACCAACTATATTTAGAAAACTAGCAGCATTTAATAGAAAAATTGACCCAGGAGGAAAGACAGAACTGAGGGAACCTAAGAGATTTTAAAAACAAGAACAGAAATGCCATGAAAAAGAATAATCAAAATAAGAAAGAGGTCTTAGATATTAAAAATATGATTGCTGAAAAAATTCTCAATAAAAAAGCTGGACGATATAGTTGAGGGAATCTCCCTAAGGCAAAGTGAAAAGAGAGAGATACCCAGAAAGAAGGACTGAAGGAAGGGAGAGAAGAAAGGGAGAGAGATGAGAAAATATAAGGGGAACAGATAACCAACCTATGAGGTCTACCATATGATGAACTGAAGTCCCAGAGAGAATAGAAAACATGAAAGGAGCCCTGACTGGTTTGGCTCAGTGGACAGAGTGTCAGCCTGTGGACTGAAGGGTCCCAGGTTTGATTCCGGTCAAGGGCATGTACCTTGGTTGCGGGCACATCCCCATTGGGGGGTGTGCAGGAGGCAGCTAATCGATGTCTCTCTCTCTCTCATCGGTGTTTCCAACTCTCTAGCCCTCTCCCTTCCTCTCTGTAAAAAAAAAAAAATCAGTAAAATATATATAAAAAAGAAAACATGAAAGGAAAAATATCATCATAGAAATAATAGAAGAAAATTTCCTTGAGCTGAATACCTAAATCTCGTGGTAAAAAAATCCCAGAGTACTGATAAGATGAATGAGAACAGTTCCTTACCAGACACACCCTGGTGAAATTTCAAATAATCAGAAGTTAAACAGAATATCCCTAAAAGCCCTCAGAAAGAAAAAAAACAAGTCATCTACAAATAATTGGAATCAAACTGGTATTAGTCTTTTCTTTAGAAACATGGATATCAGAGACAATGGACCAATATCTTCAAAATTCTGAGAATACGAATTTAGAAATCTACATTTAGCTGAATCATCAATTAAGTATGAGGGCAGAATAAAGACAATTTCAGACATGTAAGGACTCAGAATGTACTTAACTCCCATGTACCCATTGTTAAGAAAATTACCTGATTATGCATTCCAGCAAAATAAGGGAGAAAAACCAAGAAAGAGGAAGACATGGGATCCAGGAAACAGTGGATCCAACCCAGGAGGGCAGCGTAGGGAAGTCCCATGCTGAGAGCTGTACATCTGGCCTAAAGAGCAACCACTCCAGACTGGAGCAGGAGGATGGAGAGCTCCAGGAGGGATGTCTTTTGGGGGAAAATGAACTCCAGGCAACAGGTAGCATGACTGAGAGGCTGGATAAACTTGAGGATATGTTGAAGGCCCATCATTCTTTTGTCAACAAGAAAAAAAAAGGCAATTAGAAACTCCAAGATGAAAGAAAAAGCTGTATAAGAAAGTTACAATCTAAATATGAAGCAAACTAAACTAGGATAATGACTTTAAGCATTTGATGGAATGTAAGAAAAGAGAAACCATTTGACCTAGACACTAGAACATTCTTTTTTTAAGAGGCTCAAGATTATAATTCAATTAACTAGAGAGAAGGAATGTCATCTATGCATACTACTTGGCTCTACACTAAATGATGTTTTCATTTTTATAACATCAAGTCTACTTATTAATTTTTAATTTTTAGAATTAGACTTAGACAAAGAATGAAAGACTTTAATGTGTTTTTATACAAGAGTGTGAATGTCAAGCTTGAAAGTATAAGAGTATAGCTGCCAGGAAGTGAGAGGAGGAAGAGGGTGAAAAAATGGAATGGCAGTGTTCCTAATATTCTTCTTTTACATAAAAGGAATTAAGACACTGACTACTATTGATGGGATAAAAAAGACAGGCATTCTCATATTACTGAAAATGATAACCAATAGGAAACTAAAAATAATAACTTATCAAACACTGGAAACAGTAGGGATGGAAGGGTGAACTAAGTATTTTGTAATTGCATGTGCACCTGTACTCATGTGCATATATGAGTGTGTGGTACGCATGTATATGCAAAGGATATTTATTTCCAGGATATACAAGAAACCAGAAATATTGGTGGCTACCTCTGGGGAGGGAAACTGTGTAGCTTGGAAAAAGGAGTCAAGAGAAGACTTGTTCATTCATATTCTTTCATATCTGTTGAATTTTTGTTTTTATTAATTTTAGAGAGAGAAACAGAGAAAAACATCCATTGGCTGCCTTCTGCACGGCCCCTGCTGGGGATCAAACCCACAACTCTGGTATGTGCCGCAGTTAGTGTGCAGTATTTATACCTGCTGAATTTGAACTATGTAAACCTATGATATTATCCCAACTATAATATCAATAAATTTTTAAAAAGATACTAGAATTATGGAGATGACCTGAAAAACATTTAACACCAGAAACAGTGACAGGGATTGTTTTTGAGAAGTGGGACTACTCTGGGGGTGGAGTTGGAGGCTATTTTTCATTATAAAGTTTTAGCGTACTGGACTTGATTTTTTTATATGGATTTTTTAATTATGTTTGCAAAAAAATAAAAAAGAATGCAAGATATAAACACTGGATGATGTCTGTATCCAAGGAGAATGGACTCACTGGAGAATAACTAGAAAAGGGTAAAATTTAGGCAATCGTTAAAAATTTAAATCATGCCGAAACCGGTTTGGCTCAGTGGATAGAGCATCGGCCTGCGGACTGAAGGGTCCCGGGTTCGATTCCGGTCAAGGGCATGTACCTGGGTTGCGGGCACATCCCCAGTAGGAGATGTGCAGGAGGCAGCTAATCGATGTTTCTCTCTCATCGATGTTTCTCACTCTCTCACTCTCTCTCTCTCTCTCTCCCTTCCTCTCTGTAAAAAAATCAATAAAATATATTTTTAAAAAAGTTTAAAACAATACAACCATTTTGGAGGGTCAATTGCTAATAGCTATCAAAGCTGGTGTGGCTCAATTGGTTGAGCATCGTCGCTTGCACTGAAGGGTCCCTGGTTCAATTCCCAGTCAGGGCAAAGCCGAGGTTGTGGGTTTGGTTCCAGGTCCAGCTGAAGCAACCTATCAATGTTTCTCTTTCACATCAATGTTGTTGTTTTCTCTCTCTCTCTCTCAAGTCAATTTTTAAAAACATGGACATAACTTTTGATGCAGTAATTCTACTTCTGCAAATCTGTTTTACAAAAACACTGAACAAGTGTGCAAAGATGTATGCAAAAGAATGTTCCTTGCCTCATTAAGTAGGGAGAAACTAGGAATAACTAAAAAAATCTACTAATAGAAGACAAAACAAATTGTGAAAAATCTATACAATAGCATGCTATCAGGCCATTAAAAAAAGTGAGGAAGGCCCTAACCAGTTTGGCTCAGAGGATAGAGCATCGGCCTGCGGACTCAAGGGTCCCGGGTTCGGTTCCGGTCAAGGGCATGTGCCTGGGTTGCGGGCACATCCCCAGTGGGGAGTGTGCAGGAGGCAGCCGATCGATGTTTCTCTGTCATCGGTGTTTCTAACTCTCTATCCCTCTCCTTCTCCCTTCCTCTCTGTAAAAAATCAATAAAATATTAAAAAAAAAAAAAAAAGTGAGGAAGACCATATGTATTGCCATGAAAAAATATCCAAGTTATATGATTATGTGGAAAATGTAATCAATTTTACAACATCATGCATAGTACAATCCCATTTTTGTTTTTAAAAAAGTATGTGTGTAAATAAAAACCAACCAACAACAAACAAAAGTGTATGTGTTCTAGCACACACAAAAAGGAAGGATATGCAAGCATGTCAAACTTGAGTTTGACATGCTTGCAGTAAGTAACGGTTTTCTAGGGGACTGAGATTATGTGGACTTTCATTTTCTATGCTAAAAGCTCCTATAAAGTTTAATGTTTGTATATGACATGTGTCACTCTTCTAATTATAAACTAGATATAACTGAAGCAATAGTGATGGGGCTCCTCCCATGACAGTGCCCTTTTGGTTAACCAGGGTAGAGAGGGAGAAGTGTCCAGCTATGAAGCTTCCCAGGGAACAGGGCTGGTCCAACCTGGAGAAGTTCATGCACCAGAAAGCTCAGGGGTTGGGAAATAACTGTTAATGCCTAGGCAGCCAGGAGCCTGTCCCATGAACAGCCAGAGTAGACACCTTGCCAAAGCCCTCCCCAATCCTAGGCCAGAAAGGGGCAGTCCTGGGCTCCTCTCATACACTCTCTCTCCATCTTCGACAATTTGGGTTCTGGCAAGATGGAGGGAGAGAGTGACCAAAACAGACAAAGACAGACATGTACACATGCATGTGCAGACACACACACACACATGCTTCATGCATAGACACACACAGGTGCTTGCAGGCACACAGACCTAAGGGAGGCACCCAGAGCTTACATAAACACTGGTATGTAGAGAGACACAGACAGAGAACCAGAGAGAAAGGAAAGGAAGAGAGAAGGAGACAAAGTACATGCACTTCCCTCAGGAACCTTCCTTTGGGATATACACTCAGATTTGAGTCCTATTCTGACTCCCCCTTGGTGGCACCTTGAGTAAATTATGCCATCTCAGTTTCTGCTCCTGTGAAAGAAGGCTAATCACTCTGATCGCAGGGGGATATTGTCTGACAATGTGAGAGAACATTGCTGCTGCCTTGCCTGGGAGTCTTCCAGGTGTGGGGGCCTGCTGACCCGGCTACACTCAGGGCAAAGGTCAAGAACCAGGTGTCAGGCAGTGAGGGGGAATGAGGGGTACTCACGGATAGCAGAGGAACAGGAGGTTCAGGAAGGAGTAGGTCCTGAAGAGGTGGATGAGGGAGCGGCACAGACTCCAGCCTGTTGCCGTGAGAACGGTGAAACGGGTGAGGAACAGCAGGATGGAGCGAAAGAGGGAGACCTTCCCCCTCTGAGAAGCCTGGGTCAGGGTGAGATAGGACGGGATGGGGCCTTGGATGAAGGCCACAGAGGCTGTGCCCAAATCCCTCCCAGCACGGCCTGTGTCCCACCCAGGGAAACATGGGGCAGCAGCCGCGGCAGAACCTGGCAAGGTGAGCCCTCCTTGACACCCAGTCAACTCCAACGGCCAAAGGGAGGTGAGTAACGTATTTCAACCAAGTCCGAAGGGAGCCCCAAGGAAACGCCTCAGGATGGAAGGGCTCCACGTATCTCCTCGGCACCCCCAGGGGAAAGGGAGTCCCAAGGTCCCCAGCCTCTAGGACGCAATCACCTCCTTCACGACGGACCCAATGAAGCGGCGGCCCAGTACGATGGTGGTCACCATCAGCAAGTTGAAGTCGATCAGGTGGAAATTCTGTCGGGGGTAGAGGCCTGGGGGTCACGTGGGGCCCCCTGCCCATATACAATCTATTCTCAGATCCACCTCCCCCTGCCCAGTCCTTTCCATAGGGACTATCCCCACTCTCTGACCTTCATAGGCCTCCAGCTGAGTCAGGACAGGAAATTACCTAGAGTAGAACAGGACCCAGAGGAGGGAAGTGGGAACGTCCCTGGAGATAAGAGAGTGGTGTGTGAGCCCCCTTGCCCTAGTCAACCTGCCCCTGTCCCTGAACCTCTCGTTCTGCATGGAGATCTTTCCACTCCTTGAAACACTCACAGATGTCTGTGCTTCATCTCCCCCACAGGACTTAAGACTGTGCTCCTTTAGGCAAAATCTGTCAGATTCATCTCCACCTTTACAATGCCTGGTGTGGCGCTGGGCACATTAGGGGTGAGAATTCAGGAATCACCAGTTTCCTGTTCTTTCTACACTTCCCTTGCCCAGCATGAGGCCAAGCCTAAGGGTGCTAGGTAAGCTGTGCTAAACTGAAACCAAACATACACTCACACACACATACACGGCTGGTCCTAGCTGGACACCTACCAGGGAGGTGTGGGAAGGCGGGTGGGAAGGTGGGTACCACCACACTGTCTTGTAGATATTGATGTAGTGAACGAAGAGGGCTACGAGCTGGCAGAAGAAGAGCTGCAGCTCAAATAGAATGCTGGCTTGAACCGGCAGCTCCGGGATCTTGCAGTGTTGTAGGGGAACGACTGTCTGGGTGGCCAGTGGGGGGCTGGAGAGGCCCGTCCCAGAACTGCTCCTGGGGACAGGAAAGGAAAACATCAGGAGCTGACCTGAGAACCCTACCAAGAAGGGCTTCTGAGGCACAGGATGGTGGGGTAGGATCAGAAAAGCCGTTCATGGCAAGAATGGGGTCCTGATCCTACAAGTCGGACATAGGGGTTGACAGAGCCTTTTCCTATCCTTAATCTTGTTCAGGCTTCCCAACATCCCCCAGGAAGTAAAAACTTATTAGGTCCATTTTACAGACAAGGAAAATAGGAGGCCCAAAGAGGGAAGATAACTTGTCCAAGCCACCAGCAAATCAGCAGCAGAACTGTAACTAGAATCCAGGCCTTTGGATTTATTACACTACTAGAGGCCTGGTGCATGAAATGCGTGCACTCGTGGGAGGGAGGAGTCCCTCAGCCTGGCCTGTGCCCTCTCGCAGTCTGGGAGCCCTCAGGGGACGTCCGACTGCCCAGCTCAGGGCTTCTGGTTGAGTGGTGCTCCCCCTGTGGAAGCACACTGACTACCAGGGGGCAGCTCCTGCATTGAGCCCCCTGGTGGTCAGTGCACGTCATAGCGACCAGTCCTTCCGCCATTCGGTTGATTTGCATTCTAGCCTTTTATTATATAGGATGTCCCACTGCAACTGTACAAATGACCATCCTCTGGGTCTTTTCTGCTGTCTTCTGAGCCCCCTCCGGCATCTGGGCTATCACATCCTAGAGCTCAGTCAGGGACAGCTTTGTCCTTACTATCCCTGTGAGCCCACAGTGAGGGGCAAGACACAGAAAGGCAGTTTACCTGGTGCGGGAACGGACACTGGTGACTGATGCACTGGAAGTGTGGCCCCCACCAGAGCCCCCGGAGGACCCTGGCTCACACAGCGGATTACGACAGTAGGATGTCCTGTTGGGACCTCTTCGTCCTCCTGTGGGACTCAAATAAGGTAAATCCTCAAGCCAAAGGGCATATATCAAGGATAACAGCAGTGATCCTGCCTACCAGTTTACCTGCTGTCTCACTTTACCATTTAATCACAAAGACCTATGGTCTGGCTCCTGCCCACCTCTCCAACCTCATCTACCGTTCTCTGCCTGCCCCCATGCTTCAGCCATCCTGGCCTCTCTCTCCTTAAGCAAACCACACTTCTTGCTACCTCTTGTACTTGCTGTATCCTCTGTTCAGAGAGCCCTTCCCTGATTGCCATTTTGGAAGTATCTGCTTCATAATTCATTCTCACCCCCACAACAATTCACTCTTGGAATTTTTCTTATTCATTTGTTAACATATTTATTGTCTGTCTTACTCACTAGTATGGAAGGTCCGTGAGGTCACTACATTTACATCTTCTTCCGCTGTATCCCCTCCCCCTACCACAGTGCCCAGCATTAAGTAAATGCCCAATAAGTATATGAGTGATGAAACCTGCAGGGTAGGTTTTCCATAGATTCGGAAACTGAGTTTATACCGTGTCACAGGCAGTTTGGGGTCTGGGTCCTGTGCTCTTAGCTCTGGTGTGTGCTGGTCCATTCAGATACTACCCAGCTTCTATAGGCTTACATTTCTGGGCAGTCGTGAAGTTTTTTTTCCTCCAGGGCCTGAGATCCAGCTCGAGGGGCATCCTGGTGTCTTATGGTCAAGACCCAGGGCCTGAGCACAGGGCCACGGATGTGGCTTTGGGAGAATGGTGTGTTTGTGGACCCAAACTTGGACCCACCATCTATTTCTCTAGCCTTAGCAGTCTACTCTAGCCCAAGCTCCCAGGCTCCATCCTGCTTACAAGCACCACCCCAGTTCTAGTCAAGGTTATAGCTTTGTTTATATCCCTCAGGGCAACACGGCAGCTTACACAACACACGCCTTTTGCCCTAGTTCCTCAGTTTGGAAGCTTTTCCCACAAGCCTCTACAAAGCACTTGTCCTCGAACTCTGCCCCTCAGCCAGTCCCCAGCCTCGAAGCTCTGTTCACACACTATTATACTCGGCGTAGAAGATCCCACACAAATACCTTTACCCCAAAAGCTCTGCCCATACCTAGTCTCCTCTCTTTAGAAGCGCTGCACCCACACAAGCACCCTTAGCCCAGAAGTCCCGCCTACACACAATTGTCAGCCCAGAAAACCCGCCCACGAGCCCACAAAAGCTGCGTGTACCCAGAAGCCCCGCTCCAGAATGGGGTTCCCTTAGTCTAGGTCTCCTTCCCGCCCCACCGCTTCCAGCAGAAAGCCCCCCAGCCCGGAAGGACGCCCACTCCCCTAGGCCAAGGCCCCGCCCACGCCTAGCCCATCCTCACCAGCCGCCCCTTGCCGGGATCCGGTCCGCGTGGGGAGCCATGAGCAGCCTGGCCACCCCAATCTCCGCGCCGCCCGTTCCCGGGCCGAGCCGGGCCCGCTCTGCTCACCCATCTCCTCCCCCCGGCGCGCTCTGCTTCGCCGCACCCGGTCCCGGGGATCGGCCGCGCGCTCCCGCCTCGCCGCTATATTTGCATACGAGGCCGGGCTAGAGGCTGGGGGCGCGCTTCTTAAAGGGGCCGCCTGGACAGAGGCGGGGCCTGCGGGGGCTTTGTCTCGCAGTCCCCCACGCCCTTCCTGCCGCTGCTGCGGAAGAAACCCTAGAGACAGGGGAACCCACGTCCTGCTGCTCCGTGCGTGCCTTCTCCCCGCATCTCTCAGGCCTGAGGGCGGGGCCCGGAACCCGCCTCCCGTCTCAGTTCCTGCCGGGAATGGACTGCATCCTTGAGTGGCTCCCAGGCTCCCCAAACTCAACCCCTTCCAAACTGGGCTGTCACCTTTCTCTGCGGCCTTATTGCTCTTTGGTCCACTCCAGTCAAAACCTGGGAGTTATTTCCCGCCTCCCTCGGCACCACAGCTAATCTTTTACGTAGGTACGTAGTCTTGCCAATCCTAAAATCTATCAGTGGTTCTCAACCTTCTGGCCCTTTAAATACAGTTCCTCATGTGACCCAACCATATAATTATTTTTGTTGCTACTTCATAACTGTAATGTGCTACTGTTATGAATCGGCATGTAAATATCTGATATGCAGGATGGTCTTAGGCGACCCCTGTGAAAGGGTCGTTCGACCGCCAAAGGGGTCGCGACCCACAGGTTGAGAACCGCTGAAAGTATTCCTTACATCTGACCCTACTCCCCTGACACCACCTGTTCAAACCCTGACTCTGCCGGTTCCCAGCTTTGAAATCCTGTTTCTTGTCCTTTCCGATGAGGCTGGTAATATTCATGTGATAGGTCTTGGTGAGGGTTACATGAGATAATGCATGTAGAACAGAGTCTGTTTTATACATGTTAACATTATTATGGCAAGCACTTAATGCAGAGGACGCATTCAATAAATGAGCTACATTTGTGGTGGTTTCTTCCCTCATAAGACTTATAAGCTGTGTTAATCACCTGGTAGCTCCATCGCTTAGCACAGTGCTTGGCTCCTAATGGAAGTTCAGCCCTGGCCAGGCAGTGCGGTTGGTTAGAGCATGGTCCCATACACCAAGGCTGCAGTTATGATTTAGTAGATATTTAATTGATATTCAGAGCTTACAGTCCTGGGGGATGGACATTAAATGAGTAAATTCGCTAGTATGTTAGAAAGGAATGATTGCTGTGGAGGAAACAAGAAAGGGGAGGGCAGGTGGCAATCTGGATTATTTCAGATGCAGTTGTCAGACACCAAATATAAACTAGAGTTTTGTAATAGAAAAGCCCATAATGGCTTCAGGTATGGCTGTGTTTCCTTCATTGTCAGTTAAGCTCCTCCCAACAGTAGCAAGATAGGGTAGGTTTCACTGAGGTGACTTTTGAGCAAACACATGAAGGAAATGAGTGAGTTAGTCAGGCATATATCCAGAGAAAGGGGGCATTCCAAGCAGAGGAAGTCAGTGGAAAGGCCCTCAGGCACAAGCATGCATGCCTGGTGTGTTTAAGAAACAGCAAAGAGCCGAACCGGTTTGGCTCAGTGGATAGAGCATCGGCCTGCGGACTGAAAGGTCCCAGGTTCGATTCCGGTCAAGGGCATGTACCTTGGTTGTGGGCACATCCCCAGTAGGGGGTGTGTAGAAGGCAGCTGATCGATGTTTCTGGCTCTCTATCCCTCTCCCTTCTTCTCTGTAAAAAATCAATAAAATATATTTTTAAAAAAAGAAGAAAAAAAAAGAAAGCAAGGAGGCCAGTGTGGCTTGGATGGAATAGACAAGAGATCAGGATAAGAGAAAGGAGGAAACATAAAGGACTGTTTAGCTTTATTCTGAATGAGATGGGGAGTAATTGGAGGGTTTGAACTTCCATTTTTATTGATTTTTAGAGAGAGAGAGAGGAAGGGAGAGAAAGAAACAACTATTTATTGTTCTGATTATTTATGCATTCATTGGTTGAGTCTTTTATGTGCCCTGACCAAGACCTAACCTGCAGTCTTGGTGTATCAGACAACATTCTAACTAACTGAGCTACCTGGCCAGGGCTAAACTTCCATTTTTAAAGAATCGCTCTGGCCTGCCCTGTGAGAATAGACTGTAGGGTCACAAGGGTGGAAGCAGGGAGACCAGACGTGAACCTATATGGCAATGACCTTAGCAAGAGATGTTAATGCAGTGGTTCTCAACCTTCCTAATGCCGCGACCCTTTAATACAGTTCCTCATGTTGTGGTGACCCCAACCATAAAATTATTTTTATTGCTACTTCATAACTGTAATTTTGCTACTGTTATGAATCATAATGTAAATATCTGATATGCAGGATGTATTTTCATGTTACAAATTGAACATAATTAAAGCATAGTGATTAATCACAAAACAATATGTAATTATATATGTATTTTCCGATGGTCTTAGGCGACCCCTGTGAAAGGGTCATTCGACCCCCAAAGGGGTCGCGACCCACAGGTTGAGAACCACTGTGTTAATGGTTGGTATCAGGTTGAGGGAGGTGATGAGATATGGTTGGATTTGGGATTTGAAGTGAAAGTCAACAGGATTTGTTGACTGATGGATAGATGTGTGGGAGAGAAGATAAAGGCCAAGGTTTTTAACCTAGACAAATGGAAATGTGGAGTTCAATTCCACACATACACATTTGTTATAGATTTTACAAGTCAGGCCTTTCCTTCTGGGGGAAAAAGGCCTGGAAATGGTGGGTTTGGGGTGCGGGGGAGGAGAATGACCAGGTCACAAAACAGAGTAGAAACCAGGGCAGATATTTGTTTTCCCAGCTAAAGAAATTCTGGTGGTGGTGGTGGGGAGGTTGGGGGTTAATGAGGGGATGAGGACACATTTGTAATACCTTAACCAATAAAGAAATTTAAAAAAAAAAAAGAAATTCTGTTAGGAGAGCTAGTTCTGGCCTCTTTAGAGCACTACAATTGAAATTTATCTCATTAATTTCTGAATCCTTAAAGCCTAATACTACCTGGCATATGATAGGCATTCAAAGTAAGTATTAATTCAGTTGAATTGAGATAATGGCAAAATGACTCTTGAAAGGAATGCCTATTGAGAAAGGAAGCTAAATAGTTTCAGGAATATTCCATAGAAGCCTGAGGACAAGCCATACCTGGGAACTCATTTTAACTCAGGTCAATAAACTTTTTGGAGCATCTATTATATTCTGGGCACTAGAGATACAGAGATGCCACTCATTATTTGGGGAGACAGAAGAATCAATAAATTATGGTACAATGTGATAATATCAGTATGTATCAAGTTCAGAGGTGGATGGAAGGTGACTAACTCTGACAGGGATGGTAGGCAAGGGAAGGCTTCCTGGGAGATGACATCAGAGCTGGTTTCTGAGAGATGAATAGCAGTTTGCCCATTATACTCCTACTAAAGGCCCAGTGTATGAAATTTGTGCACTGGGGGGGTGTCCCTCAGCCCAGCCTACACCCCCTCGCAGTCCAGGAGCCCTCAGGGGACGTCTGACAGTTGGACATCCTTAGCGCTGCTGTGGCTTCTGGCTGAGCAGTGCTCCTGTGTTGAGCACCTGCCCCCAGGTGTCAAGTGCTTGTCATAGCGACCCATCGTTTCGATGTTTGGTTGATTTGCATATTAGCCTTTTATTATATAGGATGGGAGGAATAGCTTAAGTCTGGTAATTGTCTTACTGGGGATGGCAGCAGAGGACTGTCTTGCTGTGCACTTATTATGTGGAAGGTGCTACACCTTGTACATGGTGAATACTCAGTAAATGTTTGCCAAATTGCTTTTAGGGCATTCAAACAATCCAGGGTAAGAGTTTGCTCAAATTAACTGTTTTGCATGTGACCCATTATCTGTGGCTCCTGCCCATCTTGTACAGGTTGACTATTGATTTTGCCTGCCCAGCATCTATTCATTCCTTCTTCTGGTAAGAAACCTATAATTTTCTTTGGGGAACTACCCTTTCTACCACTCAGTTTATGAGGTTTTGTGGGGCTGCTTTACTCTGAAGTTCCAGTGTGGGCAGATGCCCTGTCCTGTTGGATCAAAGCATTCCATTCCTACCACTCCAGACAGTGACTGGGTGTGTGTGTGTGTGTGTGTGTGTGTGTGTGTGTGTTTGCAGGGTAGTGGTGTTAGTGCCTAATGCAGCCAAATGCGACATAACCCTAGGATCTTTGCTAGAAGTATTGGGAAATAATTTTAACTTCTGGGATGGCTAAGCAAATTGGTCATAAACTCTGTTATCCAGAATATACACTTCTATCCTAGTCTCTAGCAGTAACATCTAGGGTCTTAGTCCTTTCACATCTGCCTCCTACAGGCTCTCTGGGGGAAATAATTGTAAGAAGGTAGGATGCTGGTTAGGTTCTGTCCTCCAGATCTGCAGCCACACATTTCAGCTCTTTAGAGACCTTAAAGCCCTCACTTTGCTTCTCTGTGTCATTTCCTGATTAACTTGCTCTCTATTGGCTCGTCCAGGAGTCTTGAGTCTTTGAGGAAATGCCACTGGCTCTAGGCCAGTCCTGTGTTATTATTGGGTGTCAGGAGTCGGAATTTCTTTCTTGGTCATGCACATCTGATCTCAGTATCA